AAATTAATTAATTTAAATATTAAGTATAATTTATAGGATATATACTTTCTTTATAATGCCATTACATATTTCTATTAATATAAAAAGTTTCAGAGCTTTTTATTCATTTTATTTTTTTGGGATTTTATGAACTGAAAAATGACAGTTTTTGTGAGAATGACCCATATATAGAAAATACACATTTTATTTTTGTATCACAAATTATAATGTATGTTAAATGTATGTATTATGCATGTTAAAATTCATTTAAAAATTACATATTTAGAAAAGGATGATGTTTATGCTACAATCACATTAATGTTTCATTCCTGTGCACTCATGGACACTTAATTAGTTCATTTTAAAGAGAGTCAAACTTACAGAGAGGAATACTCTGAAAATACTATTGACCATTTAACTGTTTCAATGCTACCGTATTTTCTGGTGAAATCGCTATCAAGTGCCACACATCGATACAAATGAAATTTTTTAAAATAAAGTTATCACAATCGCCGCTCTGGCAGCAAAAGCGAAACACCATGCATATCAGCATCCTAATAGAAGAGACCTTTGAATTACCATTTAGAATATGGGTGTAATAAAAAAAATATTGTACATTTCATAAAGTAAAGTTTTAATTTCTAAATTATAAAAAAAAAAAAAATCTATTAACAGGACCGCTCACTTACGCCATAGACTGACTGTTTAGGCAAGGCTGAACTAGATAATCGTTGATACGGGTTAATTTGAAATAATCGTGGATAATAAATAATCCCTTTAAATGGTCTGAAAATAATGTGAAGTACAACAAAATATTTTTAAATACACCAAATAACGTAATTTCTAAAATATTTGGAGGGGGGAAGAATAGCCTAAAATGTGTTAACAAAGAGTTCACATGAAATGAGTTTTCTTTTTCAGCAAAAAAAAGCAACAAAACGATATAAAATAAAGTTGTTCTTACCAGTTAGCACCGCGCGCCAAAAAGTAAAGCTGTCATGTTTTACTTCAGAAGAGCAAATAATTAACAGCAAAAAATATTTATGTGCTCAGCGGCTCCGATAAAAACCTTGCGTTGGGAGGGTGGGAGTTCAAGAGAAAAAGGTTAGAGAAACTGAAATTTTAGGAAGGTAAATTATTCTTATATTATCGAAAAATAATTCAACCATATTTAGCGGAAGAATTAACGCTGCGACTGATTATATAAATCTGTAAAACAATGTAATAAGAAAAATAAAATGAAAAAATGTTTAGCTAAAAATTTATTTAAAAAAAAAGATTAAAAAATTTATTACAGTTAACAATTTGAGGAAAAACTAATCATAACAAACAACTAATAATAACTAATAATGAAATAACTAATAATAACAAAAATAAGAATTAAATAATAACGAAAAAACTAATAATAACAAAAATAAGAAATAACTAAGCGTGCACCAAGAAAATTCTTAAGAAGAATTAACGAAGCAGAAACGAATTTTACTTTGACAATCTTTGGGGGTGAAATTTTAGTGGGTAGAATGGTCTCTCGTTCAATAGAAGTAACACAATATGACTGAGCTTAGAAAGAGAGGAGAGAGAATGCTAAAAGAAGGATGTACCCCACATCCTCCGCTTTATATCTACTCGAGCTGTTTAGGAGGAATCAATCAGTTATTTTTAAAGGGGTTGGGGAAAAGAAAGGGGATACTTCCTTATCTGTTCGCTCCAATTACAATTGCCAAGGCGCTAAGTGGATTTCTAGATTGCAATCTTTCTTTAAGTTGGGAGTGGATACAAGATGCATACCTTTTAAATTGGTCTCCTTATGCGATGTTTTTTTATTACTTTGTCTTGCCAGTTTGCTAAGAATTGGCGATTTTAGATCGCGATACGGGCAAATATTTCGCTGACTTTTTTTGCTACTAAAAATTATTTGGTCGGAAGCGCCGCATGTAGGAAATTTTTTTCTTCCGATAGCGCCGCTTCGCTTTAGCCAAAAAATACGGTTTTTTCTTTTATATCTCTCTTTGCTAGCATGCAGGCAAGGCATAGAACAAAATTATACATCAAAAGGAAATGGAAGAACTTAACTGAAACATAATATTATAGTAAAAACGATGCTCAAAATACCATATTGCATAAAATTATATAAAAAACAGGCAACAGGTAAAAAGAATGAAATGGAATAACTTAATTTCTGTATCTAATAACTAAAAAATTTTACAATATATATATTTTAGGATTTTCATAATCCGGCCCCTCTCCTCCAAAAAAATATAAAATTTTTCTTTTAATTTTATTCTGTTACAGGATCCTTGGTACAAAATACAATATATTACAAGTGGAGAAGCATCTATCCGAAAAACAGGAAACAATAGTGTCAGCAAACAGCATCGAACTGAAGTAAGGTTGCATCTTGCAGTTATATGAATTTCATTTGAATTGATAATCTAATTTGATAAACAGGACCTAATTTAGAAATCTAGGGGCCTTAGGCACAAAACTGTTGGAGGCCCTGTTGAGCCTCACATTTTTATATTTACAAATTGCTTTTAAATTTTTTATAACAAAAGTAAATTAAAATATATTTGTAAATTTGTGCTGATATTCATTTCAATTTTTGTTTTCTCATAATTCTAATAGACATTATTAAGGAAAAAACACTCATGAAAGATATATTTGTTACATTTAGGGGCCCCTAAACATGTAGAGACTGAAGGCCTGAACCTCTCAGGCCTTATGATAAATCAGGCTCTGCTAATAAAATATTGTCATAATTATTTTTCAATTAGTTTTTGCTATGTCTTAGACACAGAATAAACAAAAATAGGGAATAATTAAATGTTCGAGACTAACTAAACGAACTAAATGATATTTTTCATAGAACTTATGGAACTTTTTAAGCTAATGAAAGAAGAAATAGACAGTGAATTTTTTATAAATTTTCATGAAGGTAGACTACACTTGAAAGCATATATATAAAAATAAATTCAGTTCATCATATTAAAATTCTAATTAGATAATTAAAGAAATATAATTTGTGTAAATATTTATTTAATATTTTATTTAAGGTCGGTAAAAAAGTGTTGTGATTCAGGGAAGAAATCGTGCTAACTTGCAATCTGTCATCAGTACCAAGACCATAGCTAGGATTATTTTTCAGGAGGGAGGGTTCTGATTAAACCTAATTATATTTTTATATATTAATAAACTTAATAATCGCAAAATTAAAACAATATAACTCAATTGAATGTAACTAGTTAATATAATTAGTTATAAGTTTTTGAATTTTCTATTTGAACTTTTTTCCACTCTATTGATAACTTGCTTCTTCATTTGAATCATAAGAGTATTTTTTTTTCAATTTTCTTTTTTCCTTAGTGCATAATCACAAGAAGAAAAAAAATAATGTTGATACATATTCAATATGTTTGTGTATAATATATTTAACATGTCAAATTTGTTTTGTTTTTTTCCTACTCACAAATTTCACTTTTCTTTATATGTTTTATTTTAGTTCTGTTCCTAAATAATCCTGTTCTGTTTCTAAATAATATGAAAAAAATCTGAACATATTTATATCTGAACACAAAAAATCATTTAAGCATTCAAATAATGACCAATACATATGAAAGAATTACTATAACTTAATTGCAAAACCATCTTAACCCTTTGACGGTTAGGAAAGTGAGCAGTTTTCGCTTACTTAATTAGCGCAGTATTACGAGTAAACAGTAGTCAAAAGTGGCAGCTGTTTTCCCCCGCCGTTCTTCCGAAAATTTCACCCTTCTCTGGTGATGCCGTAGATAGCTCGCCTCATGCGTTTTAAAAATTTCTTAAGGTATTTGTAGTACATAAATAACAGTTTTTACGCACTTTAAAATAATTAATAAATGATAATTATTAAATAGTAAATTATAAATGATTATATTCAATTATATAAATAATAATAGTTAATTATAAATGTAAGACAAATATTAAATTGAAGGGACTAAATAAATACAACTAATGTGAAACTTTATGAAGCATTTAAATACAGTAATTACCTAAATACTGTGAACAAATCCTTCATCAGACTCAAAACTTGATAAGCTTTCTGTATCATGATCATTATCATCATAATTATCTAACTTTTGCTTTTGAGCCATTTTACTTTACAAACACCCTAAAAAACATGCCAAAATAAGAATAAAAAGAACAAGGTGAAAAAAAATTTCTCCATTATGAAAGAAATACATGGAACCCGTCTGCAGATGGTAAAACTGACTAAATTTCACTAGTAGGATTCGTTTGTAACATGCAGAATAATAATGGCGAACAAGCTCAGCTCGGCAGCGGGTATTGGTGAAAAATTTCACTGCGCGAGTAGTGCTCATTTCTAACCATTTCGGTCGAAATCTTGCTCCCGAGCGGATCTCGTTTGCGCGCATTATGAAGCACGATTTGATTGCGAGCTGAACCCGTTCATAACCATCAAAGGGTTAATCATAGATAATGTGTTCTTATTCAAAACTGGAGAACTAAACTATTATGAGACCCACGCTATGTTTTTACCCCGACGTCACACGTTCAGTTCAGTACATAATTCAAAGGGTTACAATTCATACAGTTTCATTGCAAAGTGCTGCTATGCTTAAAAAAGTATTATTGCAGTTTTTTAAATTTCCAGGCGTGACAGCTCCTAAAATATCATAGCTACTAATGTCCAACATTTTTGCATAATTTAACATGAGAATTATACTGCTTCCTAAAAATTGGACCTGACTACTAAAAGGACCACAGGGAAGGCTGGTTATCAAACTTTTTTATAGAAATATACTACACTAAAATTAAAAAACTTGCATTTATTTTTGTTACTAAATTTTTTGAATCCAATAATTAGAATTTTTAATAATTCAAAGTAAGCCCAGTTCTGCCATCTTGAATTATCAAGACTCTACTTTCTTGAAATTTTATAATTCAATCTTCTTATAAATTAATATAGGTGCAAACAACTATTGTCAATTCTGGTCCAAGAGCGCATGAAAAAATTGCACAATGGATAATTTTTGTCAGCATTGGAATTGGAATATTATTATTGTTAATCATCCTCATATTGCTTATTAAAGTAAGTATAATAAATGAGTTATGGTATATGTTCTTTCACAAATATGACAGAAATATAATATGACATTCATTGATATGATAGAAAAATCAGGTGAATAACCTTAAAAATTCTGAAAGTGCACTTTTGTTTTCGATTTTTTTCAGCTTATCACAATCTAAAAAGAGCACAAATTTAATGCTATTGTAAGATCTCTCTTTTTTTTACTGAATATAACTGTGTAAATAAATATTCCCAACTGCAAGTTTGTTGACATCCATATGTAATAACTTACTATATAGTTTCTGTTTAGTTAGTTTTTCTGTTTAGTTTATAAGCAACTATTAAACCAATATGTATTTTGAAAGTTATTTCATACTTAAGTCTTTTTCTAAGTTTCCATGTTTAGCTTATGTCACATTGCATCTTAAATTAAAATAAAATGTTTTAGTTTTAATTTTATGTTGATGCATGATAATTGGTATCATGAATGTTTTTAAAATGTTCATTTTCTTGTCAAATATTAAGATTTCTAAAATCATACTTACCAATTAAATACAATTTGGTTCACAGTTGCTTAGACCTTTCAAATTTAGTTTTGCTAAGAAAACAAAAATTGTAGTAATAAGGATAAACAGAATGAATGTCATTACACAAGAGCAAAAATAAATTAAATGTTTAGTAAAATTAGGTACATAGATGCTTACACTGTGTGCTAACTGTTGTCATAAGAAAACATAGACTATTATAATTGAGCATATTATAAGTTGATTTTTTTATTAAAATTGAGCGTTTGAATCTTAATTCCGCAAAGTTTCAACCATAGAAAATAAAAGTGAAATAGTATGGAAATCCAAAATGGAATAACATTACGTATGAGCTAAATAAGAAAATTTGGATTTGTAATAAAATTGGGTAAGCAAATGTTGGACCAGTTAAATTATGTTTCTTAATGTTTTAGATTTAAAAACCTGAATTACAGTAGTTGAATTACACGCTGAAACAATTAAAGATGAGCAAATTCACTTATTTGACTAAATTTGCTTTTTATTTTGATGGCACAGAAAGCCACATGTTTGGTTTATAATTCCTTTTCTTCAGTCAATTGCTTCAGCTTAGGTTCATCTAAAAAGTTACTTTTTTTATTGTCCTATATATCCAGGTTGGTTTTGATCAGTCTCTTTCTCACCAAGGCAATTCTTATAAAATCTGTCATGGTAATCTTATTCTGTGTCCTGTAAAAATAATTGTCCAACTATTAATAGCTAGAGACATCATAGAGTGTGCTGATTGGCTAAATGATTCATTCATTGTGCCATAATAATGAATGCTGGTAGGGGTCTATTTTTCCTTTGGGCTTTTAAAATGGAATATTAGATTACTTCATGCATGCTGCTAGAATGTTTTGTTCTGTGTCACACATGAATTAGCGTCTTGATGTGTCTTGAGCAATAAAATGCCATTGTTTTAGTTTAAAATGCTAATCGAAAAAAAACCTTGATTTTTTTCATGATGTTAAATATTCACTAAAATCAGTTGAGGTGTGAAGAAGCTATCTTGTTTAATACATAGTATGATACAAAATTTTAAGGAAACTCGAAAATTTGCGAAAATTTATTTCATTCACACTTTTCATACAATAAAGCACAGTGTCTTATTTATATGAGATAAATATTCTGAAATATGCATGCTGCAAAAGTATGAAAAAAAAAACGTTTTGCCATTATGTCTCTCTTTTATATATATTTTAGAATTATTGTGAAAAATGAAGTAAAATATGTACTTATATGGGGTAGAAATTCATCTAAAATAAGGGAAAATGTAACTAGGACATTATAATGAAGGAGAGATCAAAACTAGTTGGATTACCAGACAAAATTTGAAAAGAATTGAAAAAGTTAGAAATTCTTACCAATTTCCTTTGACTGTTTTTTGATGCTTTTAATCTTGCTTGCCTTCACAAAGATATAAGCTACATTATGATAGTATGTTTGACCTTTACCTTGTTAAATATTTGATTTTAGTTATTATACTCTGGATGTTAAATAGGGAGCAACCTCATTTTCAATTTCTATATCTTTTAAGTGTAAATACAAAATTTAGTTATAATATGGGAATGATTTTGCTATACTTACAAAACTGATTTTATACATATCTTTTTTAGTTTGGTTTCTTCAAACGAACAAAAAAAGAGGAAATGGAAAAAATGAAAACGAAAGAGGATTTAAAAGATTATGACCATCTCGATGAAGAAAGTGAAGCGTTAAACTAAATAGATGTGATACCTTTACTTACTGATGAAATTTTCCTGAAAAACCAGTTTTTCTTCGTTTCAAATTTCATATAAAATGAGACTGAAATGTATGAAAAACTTAATGTGATATAGGATTTATTAATGTGCACTATAATATCAGTTGAATGATGTTCATGTTTGCATCAACTGGTCAATTTGAAGGAGTATGAATGATAGTTATTCATCAAGATTTTCACTGATCATTTCTCAAATCTGATATTTTACCAAATGAATGCAAATGTTTTTAAGCATTGATAATTTTTTGGCCAAAATATTTTTAACAGGGTTTACATTGTTTGCATAGTGAATTTCATTGTATATGTATTTGGTATTGCACAAATTTATCTTATGTTAATTATATTAGTGTGAGCTGACACTTTAAAACTTAGGTAAAATAGTTAACAACTTATTTTTTAAAATTTTTCTTATAAAAAATAGAAACTCACATTTTGTGTAGCATGTAAAAGAAACAAAGCATTCTGAATATCTTATCTATTCTTTTTCATCTACCAGAGCCTATCTTTATGTTTTAAGAGCTCTAAGATATTTATATTAATTTCCCAAAATAGTTCAAGTTTGCTATCTACAAATAAATTTACTTTTTCCAACAGATTTAAATGCAGCACTATAAAAATATAAGTGAACTGTGGGATAGTTTTGTGATTTTCTTTGCGCGTACGACACATGTGAGCTATTTTTACTTAAAAAATTGTTCCAGATGTTTGAGTTTATATAAATACTTCACTGAAGTGTTTTCAGAATGGGGTTTAAAACTCAAGGTTATAGAGGTGAGCCCACTTTATAAAAGCGGTACACCCACTTCATAAATTGGCATCAACGATAAAAAATATGTTTGTGAAAATAAAAACTGTAATGAATGAAAATTACATCATCAACATGAAAACGAATCAAAGTGCTTCCTGTTTTTTTTTTTAACAAACTGTTGCCAAAGGTTAAAAAAGCCATTTTTATTGCATAATAAACTTAGTATCTCATTCATCATTAACATTTTATTCACTCATGTAACTAGTCAAAATGATTCTTTTTCCTTTGAAAGGAAAGTTTTTAATTTTAGAAAAGTTTATCTTTTTGTGCAAATTTGTTGTACTAGTGTGTGTACTAGAATGTGAAAAATCATAAATAGTGCTATGTTCAACAATGAATGCTCGATTAAATATCCTGTAAATAGCATGTAAGAAAACTTCCACTTGTATTTAGTTCTAGTAAATTTACATGATTTGAAATTAGTTTGATATTGTTGATTACATAAAAACAATGCAATTGCTGACATTATTTATTTATAATGTTTAATACATTATTTATAATGAAAACTACGCATACTCTAACTATTCATTAACAGTGATTATCTGTGATAAACAGCATTGTGAGTTACAACAGTTAACATGTAATTTTATATTACAATTTGTTTGTTTTACATGAAATCTAAGTAATGAAGCACTGTTTATAAAATAACCTTATAAACAAAGTTTTAAATATTTAATCGAGCTGTATTTATGGCATCATAAATCATCAGGAATATCTGTTTTGTGATTTTGTTTAAAAATATATTTTTAACATTAAGTTTCTTTTGTTTGATAGATTGTTTCAGTGATTGTTATAATTGCTAAATTTTTTAAAGTTAAATTTAGAAATATTCTGAAGAACAAAATAAAAATAAAATTGAAAAATGCTGATCATTCGCACAACGTAATAATATGTCATAATTTTCCAACATTGCAAAAAAAAGTAAATTTTCTACATGTTTAAATCAAACTTAATTGTTAGCTTTTCTATGACATAAGAGTTCGTCATAGGTTAATATTGTAACTTAATTTACTTTGTTTATAATTTGCATTGAACTGTGTAAGATGTGACTTTATTATTTAATTGTGAAAAAAGTATCTTCACTTAAAAAATTGTGATTAAAACAATATCAACCAAATATTTCACAAAGCAAACAATTAATATGGGATTTTAACAAAATTGTTTTGTAAGCATGTTAAATTTATGCAGACAAATTAACAAAATATTCAATTCATAGGATTGGGTAAAAATAAATAGATTCGCCTTCGAGCATCATGACTCTGGGTAAAATTGTGCAAAATTTTCTCTGACACCAATACTTTCCTATTGAATAAAATGGAAAGAAATTTATTTTTGTTGCAGCAAAGCAACAAGCTCAGAAAAAGCTTAAACAATCAGAGGGTTAGATGCAATAAATTAATCTAGACATTGTTTTAAATAGAAAATAAAAGTTTATAATATGGAATATAAAATTTTATAACATGTTTCAAATATCTTATTTCCCTTTATATTTGTCATGCTGGATGTGACAGTAATAATTAACTTTAAAAGAAACACAGGGATCTTGTATATCACTGAAAATAAATTTAACACGAAGAGTTAACATTTAAGTAATGTAATAAGAGTTGTTCTTATGGAAATGCCCTAAAACTGCTTTATTAATTTTTATACTAGAGTTCTAGTTTGCCTATGATGAATTATATGTAGAATTGTTTGCTATCTTTAAACTTTTACATAAGTTGACTTTGCTATACATCAGACATGAACATCTTATTAGTTTATTGAATATACAATGCAATTTTTTTTCTTCTATCTATTTTGAAAAATACAAGTATTTTTAAAATTATGTCAAACAGGTTTTCAGTAAGACTTTTTTACGGTGTTCTCAATTGTACTTAAGACAGCACAGCAAAAAAATTATTGACAAGGTCAATACTACTATAATTACAACAACAAAAGGAAATTCAATTGAAAGTATCCCTAACCAGGGTTCAGCCTAGAAAAACTAAGCGTGGTATTCCGAATCTCTATACAAAGTGGTTTTTTTTTCATATTTTATCATAATTATCATGCCAAATTGTTCTGTGAAATATAAATTTTTTATTTTATAAATTTAACTTGGTAACTTTTTGTACAAAATTATATGAAGTGAAACATATTTTAGTAATCTGATTTTTTAAACAAAATTTAATATAAATGAATTAAATACATAAGAGAAATACATTACTTATCTTGGAAACTTAATTATGCACAAGATCAACATAAATATCCAATATTTTAAAATGAATATACCGTCATTTGTGACTACTTTGTGCAGGATTTTGCAGTTTTTGAACTTTGACATGTAAAAAAACTATGTTAATTCAAACTTTAGCAAAATTTATCGAAATTATATTTATAACTGGACGCAGACGAGTGAATTTGATAAATATTGGCATTATTTGTATGTAATATTTACGAATAATAAGTCACACTAAGTAGCCCCCAAATGGGGCTACTTTGTGCAGCGATAGGAATTCAGTTTAATAATCATGTTTTTAGTAAAATATTGATATGAAATTGTTAAAGAAGTTAATTGTTGACATTTTTAAAGACAAAAACATCAAGATATGTAAAGATATTAGTTTGAAAATAATTTTCAGCGTTAAAAAAACCATTTTTTTTGAAGAATTTTTTCTTAAGAAGAATGTTTATTTCAAAACATTTGAGTTTAAACAAAAGGAAACCATATACTTTTTTTAACATTGAAATGGATATTTCAAAAATAATAATTATTACATATTCATCAACATTTATAATATTGATAAATTTGAACATAACATGCTTGAATGAACATGACAGAACTTGCTCTTCAGTTTCTGTCAAAATCACCTGATGTCCTATAAAATATATTTTTATGTGTTAAATCGTTTGATTAATTCATTAGAAAAATCTTTGTAGAAGAAAAATAATAGTTTACCAGCACGTTTCACGTGTTTCTTGTGAATTTTATTAGAGATAGTATTTCTGTGGATTTTGTACTTCCGAGAAGCTTCTGCAATCGACATACCACCAGCAACTGCTTGCAAACATTGTTGCAGCTTTTCTAAAGTGTAATCACGGTAGTTTCTCGTTCCAGGTATTTTTTTATAACGTCTGACCATTTTTCTGTCGAAAAAAAAAACGAATGAAACTTTGCACAAAGTAGCCCCAAAGTGCATTTTTTTTTCATTTTCCGTTTGTTTGTTATTAATTTTAAAAAAATTTTTAGCGCTAACATGATATAATTGTTTATTAATATATAAATAAAAAATTTTGCACTTACGACAATTGTTTTATCAACGTCTTTGCATTTCACAGCTAAAGTTTCCGCGCACACTTTTCGACATCCGAGGTCCTCGGAAAGTTGTTGACATTGGATGAACCAAACACACTCTGAGATTGTCTTAAAATTCGAAAAAATGTTTGTAGTAATAGAAGAGACTTCTATCTTCAGATTCCACAGATTTTTAATGTGAAATAAACATAATACTGAATAGCAGCACTTGAAAAATGCCAAATTCGAATTTGCACAAAGTAGCCCCGAATGACAGTATATAATATTTTTAGACAAAAGAAAGTAAAATAAATTTTTCAGTATGAAAAAAACTATTTTTTAAGACTTATGTTATAGACTGTATCTGTTTCCATCTATTGTACCTTTGGCAAAAAGAACAGATCAAATTTAGTGACAATAACTTTATTGGTCATATAGTCTTCATAGGGATACTTTCCAAATTGAATGCATTAATTTGAAATATTCTAATGGATACTAGAGGCATTTTATATTCTATTTTGATTAACAAAATAGAAAAGATGTCACATTTTAAAAATAAATTTAATAGTATGTATTTTTATAATTTATGAACATTGTTTCTGAAATGTAATATAAATTATCAAATATTTTAGTGCTGAATAATCCACCTTATATGTTGACTGTATATATCAATTTTGTGATAATGTATTGCTTGGATAATATATATTTCTTAGGTTGTATTGTATATCTTATGAGAAACTTCATTGTTAATTTGAAGTTAAGTTGATTTGAAGCCTGTATCCTTTGTTTATTTTAAGTTAACTCAGAATATTTTGTGATAATACACTTATTAATGCTAACATAACATACCGTTATAAGTAGAGTCTTGCTTATCCGAACCCCAAAAAGTCGGTTAGATTTATTAAAATTTTAATAGAGTTCTCAATATAGTTTAAGCATTTCTTAACATGAATACACTAAAAGCAGCTATGCAAGCTCATAGTTATTCAAATGGGCATGATTTTCCATTGTTTCATTTTCTTATCACAAGGAAAATAAAATTTAACAATAAAAAAACTTAGTTTGATTTATCAAAGTGAGGAAAGTATAACATTCTCTCAATTATTAGACTGTTATGTGTAAAAATTTAGATTAAAATGTTTTCATAGTTAAATACTTTTTTGTTCTGGAGATTCTTGCATCAACATTTCAATAGAGTTTACCTCATCCCTGGACTAATTAATATCCCAAAAAGTGAATGGATGTGTTGAACTTTCATTAACTTTTGGGATTACATATGGGTTAATTTTACTCAAAAAGTCTTCTTTTAGGCAAATTAGTTCCATTGCTGAATTGACTGAAGAGTTTAGTTTATTGCATTCAAGTTGAAAATTAAAAAACTATGCATATCAGTTCTATAATCCTGTTATTCAATGCAATTATTTCAATAATGCCCCTTCTTTTTTTTTCTTTACAAATTTGAGCTCCCTATACACAAAGCTTGAAGTACTATTGTTTAAAACACTTTATCTATTAAGTTGTTATTTGTTTAAGTTCTATCTGATATGGATTTTAAAATGCACTATATATTAAAAATTATTTTTCCTTATTTCAGGCAAAAATGAAAATTAATTTAACCATAAGTGTTTAGAATGTAACATTTTTAATTTTGAGTTTTTATAAAATGGCCTTTACATCAAATTTCATTGTTCTTTATTTAATTTCAGATATGGCATAATTTGCTTTCAAAGTACAACAATAACAAAAAGTCGTTCTACATACGAAATTAATAACCAAAAGCAGTTTTTCTAAGAGGGTGACACCTAAACAAGCAGTAATTAAGATTGCTTTTCGTGAATAATAAATTTTTCAATATTTAAAATAATGAACATGTTAAGTAAGAGCAATCAGAATTTTAGAAAAGCTTATTTAATGCATGGATTAATAAATAACGTTTAAAAAAAGTTGAAAAGAAATTATTAATGAAATAGTAAAAAGTGGTGACCTAAGGCTTGGGTATTCTTGACTCTACATTAAAAAAATTGAATGAAGTTATACTGCTTAATAAGAATATCAACTTTTTGTACATGTAGTTTTAAATTTGTATTTGTTTTGTATATGTCTGTATTCCCAATCCACTTCTAAATGAAAAATAAGCCAAATTTCATCTGTTTGTTATGATATGTGTGTTAATAAATGGTTTTGTTTGTTTTGTAATTTTTATGTTTAGATTATAACGAAGTATGCATGTTAATGTTGTGTTCCTAAACTTATGACTATAGGTTGTGGTGATAGAACAAATATATAATAAATATTCAATATATAACCTATAGTTAGAACAATTTTTTCCAGTCCAATAAAGTGCCTCAATTATAGATCAAAAAATTTTGAATATTAAAAGAAACAAACTTTTAACACCATTTTGAAGAATGTAATTTTATATGGCAAAATACAAAAAATTTGATGAATGCCACCAAGTTGTTTCTGAGTTAACAAATTTTAAAATATGCATAAAATTTAATTTCTCAAGAAATATGAGATATCATTGTTGCAATCAAACTATATTCTCTCTCCTGCTCTCTTCACTAGCTGTTAGTTATTTCAAGTACGAAGCAACTAAAACTGGTTTCTACTTATGTGTTTTGTTTTCTTTCACGGAAACAGCATAAATTTCTCCTTTTAGATCCTTTTTCCTTCTAATGAAGTCTGTCAATCGTTAAGCTTTATAGATGGATTAAAAAAAGTTTAGCTGATTTTTAAAAGCAGCTATAATGTTTAAAAATTGTTTTATCAACAAAAAAAAAGTATTTAACAAACAATAAAAAAGATATGAAAATAAACAAAAAACTTACGAAGAAAATAAGAGAATTTGCAAATGACTTGGACAAAATGAAATTTCATTGTAATTTCAGTTTTTAGAACTTCTACAGTGAATGGTTTAAATAAAACATAACACATTTCT